TTATTTATGGGTGAACTATGTAAATTTTTTTTTCTTTTTTTTTTTCTGTATGCATGCATAGGTACAGTGATATGGCATCATCAAACAATGGAAGAAACACACTGAAATATGTAAACCTTGTTCAAGAAATGATTAACCAAAATTATATGAGAACAATATAATTTGAAGACAAAAAAGTAAGATGCAAGTTCGAAACTCTTCAGTCACAATGGCTAACAAAAATCTCATCATTCACTAATATGACAGGATCTATTGACCATAACATGGAGTTACAAATTATAAATAAACATTACAAAAATTACAAATTCACAAATTACAAATAAACAACACAAAAAAATTTACAAATTTAGGGCAGCCCACAATTTCTATAAGCAAATTACAATCAAGGACTTGAATGTTCCAAGTTTTTTTTTTCTTAGACAAACATGACTTTAGACAGACCTGGACCACCTCAAAAGATCTGTATGTTACAACTTAGAACAAAGACTCAAGATGACTATTCTTGGTGGGCACACAATTTAAATTCATGTATCTTTCTTTGAAGTCCCATTTGGATCCATCCCAAGTGTCTTTGCATCAACATTGAACTTCAAAGAACCAAAACAATTCACATTAAATTGAACTTGACAAACAACACCCTTAAAAATTGTACCCAAAAACTAGTTCAAAGATACAAAAACATAGAGAGAAAGTAGAATGGAGCTAATTAACCTCTCACAGTCAACAATGAAGGAATGGCATTTAGGTTTGGGGTGGTGGTTTTGTTGGAAATCTCTCTCTTCCCTGAAAAAGAAGAAGGCTTGAAACCTCTAATTGGACTTGTAAATGCCCAACCCCAACTCTTACTTCTTCCATGCGCCACTGCCACCGCCACTGCCACTGGTGTCAACTTCCTATTTTCTTCAATTAAAGATGAAACCTAGTAAGAAGATGAAGAGGATAAGGAAGTGATCATGAACCCACTAAAAATCCTATCACTTTTGACTCTCTCCATGATGCATTCCTGTTCTCCGTCGTCGTCGTGGTGGCCTTCTCTCTGAAACTCAACTCGCCCGAGAGTGTAGTCTCCGAACCCAGTAGAGATTCGCTTTAAAAAGTCCCCAGAAAAGCTCTTGCTTTCATACCTGATGGATCTAGATCTAGAAACTCTCCGGCCAAACGCCGCCGGGTTCGGACTCTTACTCTCATCCACCACTACTGTCGTCGCCACAAACTCCTCCCTCTTCTTCGATCTCTGCGACAACGAACCCAGTGACGAGGAATCACTTCTCCGAGTACTAGATTGCTTCGAAAGGTAAAGAAACGACCAGAACCCTCTCTTCCAGGGACTATGTCTTTTCACCATATGGTTCATGGGTATTAAGGTCAATTCGGTTGTCAAGTTAACGTTGTTCATGCTAATTTAACGGGAAGGGACAATCTGTATATTATTTTCAAAAGTAGGGGAGGTTAATGTTATTTTTGAAACTACAGGGGAGGTCCCTGTAATTAAGGTAAACCTCAAGGGAGGTTAGTGTAATTTACCCAATTTATAAAAAAAATTGATTTTTTGGTAATAATTAAAAATGTGTAGGACTAATTGGTACAAGTCTTTGTTTTGGAATTAGATGGATTTTAAATTTTGTATATGAGACTTATTGATAAGTGTCCCATAATTGATTTATTTTTACTTTATTTTATTTATTTATTTATTGTTTCCACGTGTAAGAACGTATAAAAAATATTAATTTTGAAACTAAAAACTAAGTGAGTAGCACGCCATCTATGAAACTAGTAACTAAATTTCTATGAGATTAACGATGTATATACAATTTAATAACAAAAGCATAATAGATGTAATTTTGTATTTCAATAAAAAAAAAAATTTCCTTTTTTTATAATGATTTCAAAAGTGATTACAATTGTTGTGATGCACTTCAAAATTTTGTATTATAATTTTTTTATTTTTTTTATAATTTTGAAATTAAATATATATATATATATATATATAAAGTTTGAATGAAAGTTAAAATTTGGGTAAAATTAGGCTCATATGAACCAAGCCTACTTGAGACCCATTAAACCCGTATTTTTAAGCACATGAATAGGTTCTAGGTTTTAAAAAGATAAGAGAGGCAAGTACGAACCTAACCTATTATTAATCGGTAAAAGTTTATGAATGTGGACCTTATTAAAATGCTTAACTCAAAACTAATTGATTATGAATGGAGAGACTCTTACCACCCAATTGTTATATTGTTAACTATTTGCAAACTAAAAAATTATAATTATAATTTATCTATTAAAAAATGAATGGGTGCAGTTGAAGAACCATTCATGGAGTTAGACAATACGTTAACCAAAGAGAAGACTAGGTAAAAAGACATTAATTATAAGCTTTGTATTGAAAAATAGTAGACGATTTCTCAATCACTCTTAATTATATATTACAGGGAAAATAGAAAAAAAGTTTCATATGAGAATCAGTTACTTCAATCAGTCTCATAAATTTTCTAATACACTGATATGTATTGTTTGTTTTGATAATCATACTGTGAGTTCATATTTTGAATCTTGTATGATTTGACAGACGTTTTTACCCTTTCTCATTGGGGGACGTCATTTTTGGGAAATTGGATCCAATTTTTGGATCACGTTTCTGTAACGTGACACTCCCAAAAAACTGTTTAGAAGTTCTATACATTTCAAATGTAATACTTTAATGTAACATATTAAAAAACTCCTTAGTTTTCTCAAACATAACATTCCCAAACAATTAAGGAGATTATAATAATAAATAAATTATTACACATCTAAAAAAATTAAATAGATAAAAAAAAATTATAAGACTAATTAAAACATAATTCTAACCTACAGAATTTATCTATATAGGTACGTATGCCATGCTTGCTTTGTCAACTCATTTCAAGCACATGGCATAGAAAGTCTAATTTGCTTTCCTGATGAACAGTCAACTCCTTTGGAATTTAACGATGAATTCAAAACTATAGCTTAACACCCATTTGATTAGACATTGTAGTATAAAATTAAAATAATTATTTTACGAGACTCATATTTTATTATCTAATTTTAATTTTTATAATTTAAATTAGATTCTGTCGGATATTTTATCAATAAAATTGTGAAATTTTTTAATTCTATCACTAATAATACAAAATAAATATATAATTATAATTGTACATGTTCATATATATTACAAAACAAATATTGCGAATTACACTAATAGTCCGTATAATTTGAGGCTTGTGTCACTTTGGTTCTTCACTTTTCAATTGTGGTACATTTGATCCTGAAATTTTGAATCTTCATCCAAATAAGGACAATTGAAGATACCATTACTTAATTTCAAGGGTAAAATCATCAATTTGATAAAATATAAGCTAATTTGACAAAAAAAATGTCAAAAAAAAAATTAATTTTTAAAAATTATTTCTATCCACAAAAATAGAATTATGAAAAATTGATAAATCTTTTAGACATTTATTATTTTTTTTAACCAAATTAATTTTTATTATGTTTTTGGATTATAATCATGTAATGAGTGGTTGTTAGGATTTTAATATATAATCGATATATTTAATATATGAAATGTTTTTAGTTTTGAATTTTTTGATTTAATTGATTGATTTAATAATGATATCAAAATTGTCGCCATATTTGACTTTTAAAAAAATAGAAAATAATTTAATAAAAATAAAAACAACCACGCACTACATGATTATCATCCAAATACATAATAAAAATTAATTTGGTAAAAATAAATAAATAAATAAATGTCTAAAAGATTTATCAATTTTACATAATTTTATTTTTAGTGGATAAATATAATTTTTAAAAATTCAAAAATATTTTTTTGATATTTATTTTTGTCAAATTAGTTTATATTTTTATCAAATTGAAGATTTTGCTCTTGAAATTAAGCAATGGTATCTTCAATTGTTTTTATTTGGAACAAAATTTAAAATTTAGGGTCAAATGTGTTGCAATTAAATAGTCAGAGACCAAAATAACACAAGTCCCAAACTATAGGGACTGTTAATTTAATTCACCCAAACAAATATGAATAAGAGATAATTATTTATCTCGCTAATTCAACCCAATAACCAAATCTATACTAATCTCATAGATTGTTAATTCTATTACCAAACATAACGTAAAAGTATTGCCTACAAAATTAATTTCTATTTGGTTTTTTTTTCAATAAAAAAAATGAAAGTAACGAATAAAAAATTTACAAAGATAAACAAAATATTATTTTCAAACATTTATGGTGTATTATAAAATGCATTTTTTTCTTTTAAATTTTAAAGGCATTTATGTGTAGTGAATATATGAATTATTATTTCTTACTCTATGTACACAATTTAATTGAGGAATGTAAGTAAATTTTATCTTATTAAATCTAATCACTTAAAGAGCATCCAAATATTGTAAAACTTCAATCTTTCTGTTTCTTGAAGAAATATTTAAATAAATTTAGACAAATTATAATTATAATAAATTGAAGAAATATTCAAGAGATAGTGAAATACAGTTTTACCATCTACACAGATACTAATAATTTACAGATGATGATGCATATCTAGAATTTATTCATAAAAAACTTATGGTAGATGATATAGTGTGGTGTGGTTGAAATTGTCCACTATAAAAAAACAAAAAACAAAAAATGAATTAGAAAAGTCAATAGAAGCATTGCAATAAGCAGTAAGAAAAAAGATATTAGAAAGGGGTTTAGTTGTTGAAGAACCGTTCATCATTGAATTAAATGGCGAACGAAGAAAAAAGCTACCCATTGAGGACTTGGTAATTCGTCTCTCACTAGCATTGGAAAATACTTAATAAAAATATTCAACTACTCTCATCTATCTATATCTATAAATAGACAGACTTTCCATGCTTAGATATCTATCTCCTTGTTCAAGTAACTAGGCATAGAAATTCCAATTTGCTTCCAAGAAAAAAAAGAAGCTATTGCAATATTGTGTTTTTTCGTTTTCGAGTGATAAAAATGGGCACTCACCTTATCCTTGTAACCATAGCTATCATGGCGCTGGCTTCCACACTTGTCTCTGCTTCAGACCCTAGTCCTCTACAGGACTTCTGTGTTGCTATCAATAACTCAGATGGTATATTTTATGCTCATCTCTATCTCCCAACTTTGAGCCTTCCAAACTTAAGTTTTAGATTTTGAAATATGATTTTAGTGAAAACACTTATTCAAAGCGATTGTATTTTGATAATAATTAAAAACTCAATTTTTTGTCGCAATTCATGTTAGTTTTTCATTTAGAAGTCAAATACTGATTGATTAATTGTACTTCTTGTAACATAAATTTGTCTTTTTTGTCATTTTGATAATCAATATTTTAATGGTGCCAATTTTGTATTCATAGTATTAAATATGTATTAAAACAGTCTCCCTCGCTGACATCGTCAATATTCATCATCAAAATAAGTAGTATTTTTTGAACATAACATTAGCTAAAAAAATGGTTAATTACACTTTTGGTCCTCAAAATATACAATATGTTCATTTTGATCTCCAAACATTTTAATTGTTTTAATTTGTAAAGGACCAATATTTAGTTTCTTAGATGTCATTATTCTAACATTATTGAAAATTAGTTAGTATATATAACATTTTATTTCTTTCACCCAATCTTACTGAAGCACAACTCTATTTCTTTTGCATTGCAGTGTTCGTGAATGGCAAAGTCTGCAATGACCCAAAGCTTGCCACATCCGATGACTTCTTCTTTTCTGGCCTACTTACTCCTCAAAACACATCGAACCCAGTTGGATCGATGGTCACTCCCGTAAACGTTATGCAAATACTAGGCCTCAATACTCTTGGCATCTCCTTAGCTCGCATCGACTTTGCACCTTATGGCCTCAACCCACCCCACACGCATCCTCGTGCAACTGAGATCATCGTGGTCTTGGAAGGTACTCTCTATGTCGGCTTTGTGACCTCCAACACTGACAACCGTCTTTTTACAAAGGTCTTGTACCCAGGAGATGTTTTTGTGTTCCCGCAGGGTCTCATTCACTTTCAATTTAATAATGGAAAGACTAATGCAGTAGCTCTTGCTGCCCTAAGTAGCCAAAATCCCGGAACCATTACAGTTGCTAATGCAGTATTTGGCTCGAATCCAATGATTTCTGATGATGTTCTTGCCAAGGCATTCCAAGTAGACAAGAAGGTGGTAGACTATCTTCAAGCTCAGTTCTGGTATCCCAACAACTAGAGAAACAAACAATAGAGAACCCATGAATCTATTTGTTAAACTTTAAGCAAATATGATTTAATAGATAACATAAATAAGTGGGTTGGTTATGAATGATTTCCTTAAAATTGTTTTCCTATGATTTTATAATAGTGAAGTTTGTTAAATAGTACTCTTTGTCTCTCTTCTCATATAATGATGACATTTTCATGATATTTTTCTAGGCTTCCTATTGATAGAATGATTACACACTTGATCTTTCTTTAGGGTTTCATATCAATAGCTAGGAGACAACAACAGATTGAAATTTCTCTGCTTTGAAATTTCTCTATAAAAACTTGAGAGACCCCAACTACTATGAAAATATTTCGTGTTCTTTATGCTATGAAATTTCTCTAGTTTGAAATTTCTCTAGTTTGCTCAAAAATTTCTCTGTGCTTTGACCAATTTTGTTTGATTTGTTCACATTTTTCTCTGTATTTTGAACAAGCCAGAAAAAATTACAGAGAACATTGTGCTACTCACAAACCAATTCTTCAATAATTTTTACAAGAAAACAGCATGCTAAGTTCATCAAAGAACTTAAAATACAAAATCTACTTATACTTTAAAAAACAGCAAACACTACACATCCCAACAGATCAGAAATAAAATTCAAAGTTAGAAATCCAGTGAAAATCAAACAAGTAACACAAATTAGTGGAAGTTTAATATGGGCAGGAAAAATTCAAATGCCAGAGAAAATTCGAGAGAAAATCAGAGAGACAACTAGCCATAGAAATTCAAGCAAGGCACAGAGAGAAAGAGAGTCCAATGTATTTGGAGAAAATTAATCTAAAGGGGATATCTTAGTGCTAGAGAAAATTCATCTCAAAAGAAAAATTACACACAAGGAAACAACTAATCAATAAAAATCAAACAAGTAACCTATATTGGTGAGAGTTTAATATTTTCAGGGAAAATTCAAATACCAAAGAAAATTTAGCTCAAGGAACAACTAACCAATGAAAATCAAACAAATAACACAAATTAGTGGAAGGTTAATGTCGTCAAGAAAAATTAAAATGCCAAAGAAAATTAGAGAGAAAATCAAAGAGACAACTAGCTATAGAAAATCAAGCAAAGTACAAAGATTAAAGTGAATCCAATGTGTTTAGGGAAAATTGTGATGGTAGAGAAAATTAATCTCAATGGAAAAATTACACACAAGGAGACAACTAACCAGTGAAAATCAAACAAGCAACATAATTTGATGGGTTAGGAAAAATTCAGATGCCAGAGAATATCAATCAAAGCACATAAGTTAATATGACTATAATTGTGGTTAGAGAGAATTCGGTGTGACGACCGGGTCTTTTCCTTCTTTCTTTTTTTCTTTCTTCGCTTTGTTGCCCTTTTATCTTTGTTGGGTTTGAAACGTCTAAAATTGGTTTTCTAGTTCTTATTTCATTCGGTGTTGAATTTCAGATGTTTTGGAGGGTGCGCAGGTGAGTCCAGAGTGTCCGGGAGCGAAGCAGGAAACTTGGGCTGCTGGGCCAAGGCCGCACGTGCGGGGCCCTAGGCCGTACGTGCGGAGAAGGGCCGCACGAGCGGTAGAGGTTGAAACCCAGAATTTTGCATTCTGAAATAGGCCGCACGAGCGGTGGAGGTGGGCTGCTCGAGCAGTGGGGGAGGCCACACGAGCGGCCAACTGGGCAGTCGGAAACTCAGTTTTTTTATTTCTTTTTGGTCCGAATGCATCTCTCATTTTGGTCATCTCTCTCTCACTCTAAACCCTATTTTTCTCTCCCTTCTCTCTAGAAAACCTTCTAAAGCACCTAAAACTCTTTGATTCTTGCAAATCTTGGGTCAATATCATCATCATTCCTCACAAATCTTGAAGATCCAAGCTAGGGCTCCTCTTGGTGTGGTGTAAAGTGAAGGATCAACCATTTTGACTCTAGGGTTTCATCTCATCTTTCATCAACAAGCCTGAGGTAGGGATTTCCATGATTTTCTTCAATGCTTCCCCTATAGATAGACATGTGGTAAGTTTGTATTGCATAAAACCATGTGGTTATGGATTATTTTCGAAAATCATGATAGAGGGTATAAGGTATGAATGTAGAGATAGAAATTTCATGAGATGGGTTGGTGTTGGGTTAAATTTGGGGTGTGATTCATTATATTCATGATTAGAGAGGCAAAGCCCTAAATTTTGTAGTAATGCCTATTATATAAAAAGGGGGTTAACATTGTAAAATAATGATGTCATGAGTTTAAGAAATGAGACTAATGATTTGGAAGTTGAATTAAGAATAAATTGGGTTTTTGGGTTGAAATGTTGACTTGTGTTAGATTGATTATACTTAAACACGATCAATTGATGTTTTTTTTTTGTTATTTGTTAAAAAGGAAATTTTAATCATGAGATTAGAATATTTTTGGGTGCACTACCGTTAAATAGAAATTGTGTAAATTACAACCTCGTTAGCCATGATTGAAATCCCTTATTTTAAATGAAGAAAATTGAGTTAGTTATGTTTTGGTGTAATGAAATAAGTGGATTGAGGCAAAGGGTGGAGAACATAAATGTGGAGGAATAGGTAATTGATTTTGAAATGGAAGAATGGAAGACTAACATTTTGTAAATTTCGGAAAATTTACTTGAGATTGAATCACAAATGTACTTTATTTTACTATTGTGTAATTGGACCCAAAGTTTCATGTGAAGTGGCTAATGGTATTATGTGTTTAATATATATATATGGTTAGAGGTTTTGTCCTTGGTCATCGGTGGAGGATGACATTGTGAATGTTGTTATGATTATGTGACTGTAGTACACTTGTGTTATCTGTGAATGTGGTTTCAAATGATGGTTGGAAGATGTGTAATGTGCTGAGAATCAGAGGTACCATTACCTTCTAGCTAGTGCTTGGAGAATTGGCTACGCTGAGAATCAGAGATATCATTCCCTTCCAGCTAGCGCTTGGAGAATTGGCTGCGCTGAGAATTAGAGGTACCATTCCCTTCCAACTGGTGTCTGGTAAATTGGCATGTTGTTGTGAGGGGTGTATCATTGACTTACCGTGCTGCGGGCAGGTAGAGCAGGGGTTATTTATCGTTGTTGTTCAGTTTGATTGTGTGTATCATGTGTTTTGATAATTGTGATTTTGTAAGGTAAATTGTCTCATATGTTGAGTAGAGGTGTTTATGTAGACTTAGATGTGCTAGAGAGTGGTTGAGGGAGTTTCCATCATAAGTTATTTTATTGAAGGTATTCCTTAAATCTTGAGTCAGATCATGTTTATATTTGGGTTACGAATAACGTGAGGAAAACGGATTTAATAAACGTGTTTTCAAAAAAAAAATAAAGGGGATATTACATGGTCTTTTGTTACAAATGGAAAATATGGTTATCGAGTAACGATTGTCTTGAAATGCGAGATGGGTAAGGAAAGCGAAACTTGGTTTTGTTGTTCAAACTGAATGTTTTTGAGAAAAGTATTATGTAAGTATACTTTGGTTATAAAACGTCACATTATTTATATGATATGAGATTAGCATTCATGATCATAGCTATCTGTAAGTTGTTATTGTTGAGGATCATGTTGAGATCTCTACTCGACTTTATGTATAGCGATTCCGATATTCCCTTTACTGTTCAATTGTATTCCGGACTCGGTTCCGTGGAGTTGGTAGTTGTGTCTACCTTGTTGTCGTCCTTTAATTCCATTTGATTGAGTTTTAGGATGTGTTGGGCATGTTTCGAGCAGGTGGGTTGAGCCTTGGTCTAATTTCTTATTGCCAGGTTTTTGGTCGTTCCGCTCGAGCGGGTCGTCTAGCGCTCGAGCGGAGATTGCACACTCCCAGTATTTTCGTGCTCTGCAAAACTTTTGCAAGAGTGATTTCTACGCTCGAGAGGATTTCCTGCGCTCGAGTGGGTCGCGCTCGAGCGGGCTTGTTGGCGCTCGAGCGGGTAGTTCTTTTTTGGTGTAAGTTCTCGGAGGGAAAAATCTATGCTCAAGCGGGCTGGTTTTCATGCTCGAGCGGATGTACTTTATTCTTGTGTCTTGGAGCTCGAGCGGGCCTTCTTACGCTCGAGCAAATTCAGTATTTTGTTCTTGGCGCTCGAGCGTTGTGTTTTCCGCTCGAGCGGACCTGTCATATATCAGAAGGCAGTTGGGCATTTTTAAGTCACTTTTTACATCCTCACTCTCTCTCTTACTTTTCAAAAACGCCATTTGAGAGCTTCTCTCTCTAAAACCTCCACTTCTCTCTAAGTATTGATCTAGTAAGAGTTGTTTCCTCACCTTTGGCCTTTACAAAAAGGTTGTTAATCGTCGATGACTATCTTTTGATCCGAGAAATTTGTGATTTGGAGCATCTTCATTTTCGTCATCTCCTTCGTTGGGTTTCATCTTTTGAGGTAGGGATTCTTACTCACTCTTATGGGTTTTGACGTAGATTTTTGGGCACTTTGTTAAATGGTTTGATTTTGAGATCTAGGGTTTCAAAATGTATAAAAGGGGGTTTGTTATTTTGATTCTAAAATATGTTTTTTGGGTTTCAAAATAATGATATTGTTGTTGGTTGTTGATATTTGGACTCTTGGGTCTATATTGGGAAATGGGGTAGAAAACCCTAATCTGTTGTATAAATTAATTGGTATAATTAATTTGAAAAAATTGTTGTTATTTGGAATTGAGTTGGAAATAATGAAATTGGCTCATTATATTGTAGAATGGTAGAGTTGGATTTATTAATCACTCACTCTTGAAAACATTGATATTTTATCTGTTGGAGCTTTTATTATCTGTTTAGAAATAATTACTTTGGGCTACCGGTGGAGGGTAGTTTTGATTGTTGTAGACAATGCATGATGATTAGGCAAACTAAAACTAATCAAGTGGATGTGTCATAGAGTATGACGGTTGATAGAATACATTAACGTTATGTATTGATTAATTGTGTATATGACCTATGTATATACGTTGTGTGTATGGGAGGAGATATGGGATGTACTCCACGGTTTAGGGGAAGGACCTCTAAATCGGATGTTGTTTGGGAGGAGATAGGGGATGGACTCCACTGATACAACTCATATGCTTGTCAGTTAGTGTCTTGATATAGCTCATATGCTTATCTGTTGAAGTGTGGATATAGCTTGGATGCTTATCCGTTGAGATGATGATGTAGCTTATATGCTTATCTGATGAGATGTTGATACAGCTT